AAAACCTGCTTTCTAAACCCTAATCCCAACCCTAAAAAAATGCTAAAAAATGCACCCAAAAAAATTTGTATTTTTCGTGGCTTGTCTATTTTACACTATCGCTCATTTCATTTTAATCTGATTTCATTTTAATCTGCCACATTAGATGTAACCAATCAACCATATATAAAGAGTAAAAAGAATTTATCCGAAAAAAAAAATGACTAGCTTTCAAGATATTATTAAAACTCTTGTTCTTAAGCCAGATGAATTTACCGCGGTTCACGCGCGAGCCGCGTTAGTTGAGATGATGGAGCGACGAGTGACATCAGCTCAGGTTGCTACTTTTTTGGTCGCCTTGAAGTTAAATAATAAGGAATATGATCCAGAGATAATTGCTGCTTGCTCTGAATCCTTACATAAATTTGCCTTGGAAATAGACTTTTCATTGTATAATGGTTTACATGATTCTCTTATCGATGTGGTTGGAACTGGTGGCGATGGAATGAATACTTTTAACGTTTCGACCACTGCAGCAATAGTCATTGCTGGTGCTGGGTGCAAAGTAGCTAAAGTATGAAATAATGCAGTTTTTTTTTGTGTTTTTTCTTAATTTGCTATCCATGACTAATTAAAGATAATAAAACAGTCTGGTAACAGAGCTGCTTCATCGAAATGTGGATCTGCGGACATTCTTGAAAAAATCGGATGTGAAATCTCTAATGTAACGCCTTCAAATGTTCCACATATAATTAACTCTACAAATTTTTGTTTTCTTTTCGCGCAAACTTTTTATCATGCTGTAAAGCACGTGGCGGACACGCGACGCGAGATTGGTATACCAACCATATTCAATTTATTAGGACCTTTGAGTAATCCAACAAGGCCTAAACGAGTTGTAATGGGTGTACATTCAAAGTTTTTGGGAAAAATAATAGCTAATGTATTGGCATTAAAGGGGGTTGAGGAAGCCATGGTAGTTCATGGTGCTGTTGGATTAGACGAAGTGAGCTTTAAATTATTATATTGGTTGTTTGCACGTTTGTTGCACGTTTATCGCATTGGTTATGACTGACTTTATCCCTTCCGATCGTTGCAAAGATCAGTC